TTCCTGTAGGGAGGGGGACTCTCCCTCCAAGCAATAACCGCCTCCCCACCCGCCTTCCTGTGCTTCACGCCAGAAGTTGCGTCGAGCAAGGTTAGCGTTCTCTCTCTTCGTACTGTATTTTGTTTCATATTTTTGCAGTTTAAAAAATATATATATATGGTTCAGAATGGATTAACCGTAATTACATTGAACCTTATGGGGAAATTTGATTCAGGATGCGACCAAAAATCGGGCTGCAACCAAATTCGGAGGGGTCAGAACAGATTAACCGTATTTACATTGAACCTTATGGGGAAATTTGATTCGGGTTGCAACCAATTTGGGTCGCGACCAGAGTCACGGAACGAATTAAGTTCGTGAACCGAGGTACCATTGTACATTGTGAAATTTATAGCTTAAAAAGCCTATCTAGGAAAGAACACTTCATAGTGCATGGAATCTAGTTGATGGAAACTTCTAAGCAAGCTAGCTTAAATATACTCATTAATATTTTGAAGATTAAAGACAAATCTTCTTTTGACCTCATTACTGTTAATGCCTTATTTGTATGTATTTATTTAGTAGTAGTAGTAGACCATTCTTCTTAAAGAACGTATAGCATGAAACAATGAAAGTATAGGGCATATTCTAGAGAATTAAAAACAACATATTATATAGAATCTTAGAGAATTAAAAACAACCAATAGTTATAGCTAGTGGACCACCTGAACCTAAGCACAGGTACCTTTCACCACTGAAGACACCTGTATCTCTACTGATGGTTTTGGATCAAGGAGGACCCTAAAGTACAAACCTGTTCCTTTAGAGGAAAAAAAATACAGGCCATCTCCCTAATTCTCAAACTTGAGAGCTACCTGTACATAGCAGTTCTGTCATATTCCGATTCAATGTATTGATCCATATCCAGCTCCTGTTGCATTCACATAGCCTTTCTTCGGGCAAATAAAATGAAAAGATTGAACTGATGAGCATAGTGATGACATCACAGTCCAAATCACAGTTCCCAGTGGCTTCTCCAGTGGGATCCAATTGTGCAGATATAATGTGGCAGAACCAAAATCACTGTAAATACATTGTGCATCATTGAAACAGAGACCTCCAGTAACCAATGAATAAGGTGCTTCTGCAAGGCAGTATTCTGTTGCGATAACAGTCCCCCCGTCTCTACTGGTATACATCAGGTGCTCAAAACTATAATCAGGGTTGAACCTGACAGATTTAGAAATGGATTTAGATAAGAGGCTAGCAGCCCATGGTTTGCAGGACACATGCGACATACCCAGCTGTAAGTTGGCAACTTCTTAAACCAGCCTTTCTCAACTAGAGTTCTGATTTAAAAAAAAAAAAAAATTCATGTACCACGCAATAAGTGGTGGTGAACTTTTATGCACCATGACTCTGCTGCTAGTGTGCAACTTGACTGTTCTTCTAAATGTTGAAAAACGTGGATTGTGTAGTTTAGAAGTGAATTGTATTGTGAAATTTTTGTATTTTTGTGATTTATAGTCAGGAGTTCCCTGAGTCCTAAAAATTCAAGAGTTCCTCCAGGGTAGAAAGGTTGCCTTAAACTATCCAAGATCACGCTATTAAAATGTAGCAGAACATCTTTTTTTAACAGCTCAGTTTTGCAGGCTTTGTTTTCTGAAAATTAAAATTAAAATAGGTTTGCTAATCTCTGCTTCATTGACTATGCAAAAGCCTTTGATTGTGTGGATCACAACAAACTGTGGCAAATTCTTAAAGAGATGGGAATACCAGACCACCTTACCTGTCTCCTGAGAAATCTGTATGCGGGCCAAGAAGGAGTGCAAAAGCTGGCTTGAAACTCAACATTAAAAAAACTAAGATCATGGCATCTGGACCCATCAATTCCTGGCAAATAGAAGGGGTAGAAATGGAAGCAGTAACAGACTTCATTTATTTGGGCTCCAAGATCACCGCAGACGGAGACTGCAGCCATGAAATTAAAAGACGCTTGCTCCTTGGGAGGAAAGCTATGGCAAGCCTAGATAGCATATTAAAAAGCAGAGACGTCACCTTGCCGACAAAGATCCGCATAGTCAAAGCTATGGTTTTTCCAGTAGTAATGTATGGCTGTGAGAGCTGGACCATAAAAAAGGCCGAGCGCCGAAGAATTGATGCCTTTGAACTGTGGTGCTGGAGAAGACTCTTGAGAGTCCCCTGGACTGCTAGGAGGTCAAACCAGTCAATCTTAAAGGAAATCAACCCTGATTGCTCATTGGAAGGATCAATAATGAAGCTCAAGCTCAGATATTTTGGTCACCTAATGCGAAGAGAGATCTCTTTGGAGAAGACCCTGATGCTGGGAAAGATTGAAGGCAAAAGGAGAAGAGGACGGCAGAGGATGAGATGGTTAGATAGCATCACTGAAGCAATGAGCATGAAACTGAGCAAACTCAGGGAGGCAGTGAAGGACAGGAAGGCCTGGCGCAATATGGTTCATGGGGTCACGAAGAGTCGGACACGACTTAACGACTAAACAACAATCTCTGCTAGGTTTAATGCATCTGTTTGTACTAAATTTTCTTTTCTCCCAAGAATCCCTACCACTTTCATAACAAAACTGAATTACTGGCCATAGCCCTTGAGATTATTTGAGGAATCTCAGAGTAAAAAAATATGGCTTCCCTGCCCACAAAAAAGTTGCTTACCTCCAGTCTGAATAATTGGCTTCCTAGAAGTGTGTGTGTGTGTGTGTGTGTGTGTGTGTGTGTGTGTAGCTAGCTAGCTAGCTAGCTGACCACCATCCTTCCTGCTAGATCTTATGAGCTATGATAGGTAAGTGTCAGACAACAGGCCTGATCTCCACAGGCATCTGGTCCAGTTGCTTAAACCATAATCACTGAACTGGATCCCATAAACCTTCAAGTACATGGTACTTCAGTAGGCCTTGCACTAATGGTACCACTCAATCTGGAGTGTATAGGAGTGACTTTACCTTCAAAGTGCATGTGTGTCTACATACATGGTCAACTTCCAGATTGGCTTGAGCAACTGATTCACAACCTGCAAAAATTCTGCTGGACACTTTGTTCTCAGCATAAAACTCAGAGTGGCCTGTATGCAAACCTACTGCTGCCCTTTGCTTTTGATAGCCTTTTGGCCCTACCGGTTGTGAAAAAGTAATTAGTAATGTATGTGTGTGTGCGTGCATGCATGCACGCATGCATGCATCCACATGTACACTGTTTGTGGATATTGATGAAAAAATCTTGAGCTGATGAAAGCCTATGCAATGATATTTATATTGTTTTTAGAATGCCAAAAACTGTTTTGTTATATTTCGATGAAACAGATGTGCACTAGAAAATATTTACCAAGGTAATTTTTGAAAAGAGAGCAGGGAAATGGAGAGACAGAGATTCTAATGCCAAATGGATATTAAATCTTGTTTGTAATCTATTACAGACGACAGTCATTGATTATGTGAAGCCATCAGACCTTAAGAAAGATATGAATGAGACCTTCAAGGAGAAGTTCCCTCACATCAAATTGACACTCAGTAAAATAAGAAGGTACTAATCCCAGGCAACTACCCTTTAATATATTTGGTATAGGGAGGTAAAATATTAACAATAGGTTTTCTGAAAAATGACCTTCAAGGACTCGAAACAAATCAGCTGCTTCCTGATTAAAATGCTGAGTAAATAAGATAGGAAGCACGTGGACCTAAGTATATATTATTGCCCTGCAATGTTTTAATAATTAACTATAAATACTGAAAGGTAAGGCTAGAGGGAGGTAAGAACTTTTGTAAAGGCAGTAAACAAAATAGAAAAATCTCCTATTGGATACCAAGAGGGACAGACAAGAGATTGAAATTCATTAATAGGATCAGTTAATGGAACAATTCTTCCTAATTGTATTTTATAAAATTAAAGACTGCCTAGGGATTGGCAAATAGGTCAGATTTAGTTTTCTTCATTGTTCATTTTTCTAAATTTAAGTTCATTTCATCCTTATTCTACATTAGTTCACAGCTTTTGTTTTTTGTTTTTAAGTCTAACAAAAATCCATGTTTTTCTGTGCACATTTCTCCTGAATATTTTTGTGAGCAATTTACTCTAATATAATACATTTTATAGCACTTTCCATACTATACACTTTTTAAAAATTATAGATTGTACTCTTATGTTTGAAAAAGTGAGGATGTAAGTAATCTTTTCATTTAATATATATGTCCAAGATGTGCAAATTGGCACACGGTCTTTAGTTGTTTGTAGTATTATGCAAAGACTTTCCATGTATACATATATGTATACATATATACCTACATGTATGTATACATGTACACACACACACACATATAAACACACGTGCACACAGACACACAGACACAGTGTTAACAAGTCCTGTCAGAGGAAAGATTATAGTAGAAATTATTTTTCCCTATATGCAAATGTATTAAAAATAGATTGCCATAGGTACTTAGAGCAGCTTGTGACCCTTTGTCTCTTTCAAAGCCCTTCGCTTAGGCTCAGTTCAGACCTCTGGCAGGAGCCTTGTTTAATGCCTGCTGGGCAGAGTAGAAAGAGGTAAGTGGGGAGGAAAGGGAGTTGCAAAAGGGGGTTGCAGGAGGTACAAAAAGTAGTCCAGTCCATTTCTTGATTTGGCTTCATCTTCTGCTGACATATAGGTCCCACCATCATGCTTCTTAAAAAAGAATTCCCTCCTTCTAACATCCTCCCCCATGCTGTGCTGCCTCATCATCATGGTGGTGTTGTTCCTGGGAGGGATGAGTGAAGAATGTTGGGAGTATATGCCAAGAGTCTATATTCCCAGCAGGGTCACCCAAGGTGTGAAGGTCATCCCAGCTGCTCAGCTAAAGCAAGCAGGCACCTATATTAGGCAGCAGTGATATTGGAAGGTGTGGGAGGCAGATGATCGCCTTAGTGACAGTGGCAGAGGCATCAACTCATGCTGCCTGGGAGAAGGCAATGGTAAAACCACTCCTGTGTTTTTACCAAGAAAATCACATGGATAGAAAATATAAAATCAATCACTACTTATATAGATTGAAAAAGCTTTCTTTTCTTTTTTTTTCCTATTCCTAGAGTATATTTAGGCAACATGCTAAGTGCACAGAGGTGATTCTTTGGACAAAAGGAGAACAGAGAAGACCTTAAACAGAGTAGGAGAAAAATCTCAGTAAGAGTTGTTCAACAGAAACCAATAACCCAGAAAGAGGTAGTGGATCCCTTTCGCTGGATAAGTTTATAGGCTGGATAAAACTCAAAATGGTTGCCTTTTCTGATTAGCACTAACTAGAATTTGCAGCCAAGTTTAACTGCTGGATTCAAATTTTGATTACTTGGTAACTAGAAAGAACAGCCGTTCTCCATGTGGATGATAAGAATAGCTATAGGAAATCCACCAGCTATAGTTGAGGAACTATGTGGACTTGCAGGACTATAGTCCAAAAGCATGATCGAGCTAAAAGAAGAAAAGAGAAAAGAAGCGAATTCTATTTTAAGTTTGCAAATTATTATTTGCAATTGTCCAGAAGTTCAGGAGACTCTTTACAGTTTTGCAGGATACAGTTGCATAGAGGAAAGCAAAGCAAGAGCACCTCTTTGCCTTGGCCTTCACGTATTTTTCAAGGTGGCTCACAGCATGCGACCAAAAGGCTGGGTATGGCCTTCAGCCTGGAGAGAGCAGTGCATCCCTAGTCTAGAAGGGAGAGTAGGGAACAGGGAGAATAAGAAAGAGCTGTTAGACTAGAATTCCTGCTTGCTAAATAGCCTTTTAGGAAATTCAGTCCCTTGCTATGTTGGCTTCTTTATTTAGAGTCTTGCCTTATCCAGCACAATGGAATTTGAAGATACCAGGCATATAATACTGTGCAAATAGCTATGATTTTAAACATGGACATTTCAGTGCTCAGAAATTCAGGAGGCATAAATAATTATATGTACTGAGAATAATGTGCAACATAATACTACAAATATTTCAGCTATGTATATTTAGGCAAGCTTTCTAAATTACAGGCATTGTTATTATCTTCAGTCCTCTTTGGCAACATAACTTATTTCCCTTCCTCTTTCAGCCTGAAGCGAGAAATGCGCAAACTAGCTCAAGAAGAGTGTGGTTTTGAGGAGCCTACTGTGGCTATGGCCTTTGTCTATTTTGAAAAGCTTGCTCTCAAGGGGAAACTCAACAAGCAAAACAGAAAGCTCTGTGCTGGAGCATGCGTCTTACTAGCTGCCAAAATTGGCAGTGACATCAAAAAGCATGAAGTCAGGCATCTTATAGATGTAAGTATCCCCGGGCCACTAATTTTGCCATAAAAGGTGAAGGTGAAGGAGTATTTGGGATGTCTCAGTTGAAAGGAATTATGTTTTTTCCTGTGGTCATTACATCAAGTTTTAGCCTTTGCTTGAAAAACAGGATGATCAGGAAATTCTATTTTAATAACTACTACTACTACTACTACTACTACTACTACTACTACTATTATTATTATTATTATTTAAATTTATATGCTGCCCAACTCCCATCGACTCTGGGTGGTTTACAAATTGTTAAAAACATTTAAAAACAAAGAACAATACAAAACACAAAATCAACAGATAATAAAAAAGCAGAGATGACAGAGTAAACAACCAGGATGGGCACAAGGAAAAGAAAGAAAGGGGCATCAAGCGTCCTCGCCAAAAGCCTGGGCGGAAAGCCATGTCTTTGGGGTCCTTTGAAATGCCAAGAGGGAGGGGCCGTTCTAATCTTGGGAAGAACCTCATTCCAGAGACAGGCACTGTGATAGAGAAGGAGCACTTCTGGAGTCCTGAAAGGTGGCATTGTTTAATTGATGGAACCAGAGCAGGTCAACCCTGCCTGATCAAACTGATCGGGGAGATACTATTTTGTGTAAATAAAGTTAGGGGAAATTATTTCAAGTACTGTCCAACAATTATTATCCTAATGCACTAAGCTGTGACTGTTGGCTGTGTTACAGAAACTGGAAGAAAAGTTCCGCTTGAATAGGCGAGAGTTGATTGCCTTTGAGTTCCCGGTGTTAGTGGCCTTGGAATTTGCTCTTCATCTACCTGAACACGAAGTGATGCCACATTACAGACGTTTGATCCAGAATTCCTAGCACAGGCTACCCTTCCAAGAAGGGGGAGGGGTTTAAAAACTATTGTCTAATTTGCTCAGAAGAGCAGCAAGTTACTACTGGAAAAAAAAAAAAAAAAAAAAAAAAAAGGGATGCAGAAGCCCCAGTGCCCTTTCTTCTCTTTTCAATGCAGCTTTTCAACCACACAGTAGGAATAAAACAGTGGATTCCTTAAGACTTCTCAGGCTAGATGAACTGTTTAACTACTCAGCGCAAGTGTTGAACGAGTTTGCATGTGAGTGAACAGTGGGTGGAACATTCATACAGTACTTTGTGGACCAAAAGAGAACTTCATTGGTTGCCCGTATAATTCATGAAAGAATGAGGAGCATCAGCACCTTTCCTTTTACACTTCTTTTTAATTGTCCTGTTGACCCACTTGGGACTGGACACATTTCCTACTAGAAGCTGATGTCCACCTAACTTCGAATGGATCCAAAAACAATGATGGGTTGTGATTGATATTGTCACTGTCTCAACAATGTGCCAATCTATTTTTGTACCTGTTATTGAAAGTGCACTTTTCCTGGTGGGTGGGTAGATTGTTTAGTTGTGAACAAAATGTTGGACAGATTTGGAACCCAGTGGCAGCCTTGGATCATTGCAGTGATATTGTTTACTAAAGACCAGAGGACAACTTTTTTCGGTTTGCTTAACAAAAACTTCTGGAAGGGAGACACATGGCTTTATTGGAATAAGCTCGGGTAGTATTTTGTAATTCCTGATTATTGGATTTCATCACCACCACCTTTTATTTTTTCAAGATTATAGTACTTAAAAAAAAAAGCGATGTCTACAAGAAGAAACAAATAACTGGTCTTACGTTTTCACATTTGTATGTGATGCCATTCAGGCGTTCGAAACAAAGATGCTACTATATGAGGATCTTGTTTTAGGCCACATGCGTATTTCTAACCACTGCACTTTCCCCTCTGTGTAGATGGTTAGATTTGCACTTGGCAGTGTTTGTATTTTGTGCTCTATGTTAGAGTGCATTCCAAGGCACGTCAGTGATGCTCTAAGTTTAAGCAGTGTTTTATAAAACCAAGTTGTACAGCTAATGGGCAGATTCAGCGGCAGCCTTGGACCCTTACAGTAGATGCATACCTAAAGTGAGAAATTTTTATTGTTGAATTATTGTTGCTTTCTTTAGAAATGACTGTACAAAATCAAATTTAAATTAGGGGCCATTTAAATTGCCACTTTTTCATACTATTCTGGAATCTTACAAACTTTATGAACTGTTTATAAACTGCATGTTCATAAACGATAAAGTGCAGGCTGAAAAAAAAAAGCAGACTTGTCCTAGACACACTGCTGCAACTTCCGTGTATCCTGTTTTCTAAATAAATGTATGTATTTATAGGCTCACACATACACACAGACCTGCAAGATGACAGCTGGATGTGCTTCATAACATGCTAGAGAACAAGCATCAGATAATTAAATTACTATTTTTATATATAGTTTATGCTCATGTCCCACTTTTTCCAGTGCTGATTCACCTGATATAGACCGTGACTGGCACAATAATTAAAATAAAATCAAGTGTTTACCGTTTATCATGGAATGCAGATTAATTGAACAGCTGCTTTATTCTTGTTCCTCTTTTTATCAGTCATTAATGACATATTAGGATTAATAGAAGTGGAAGTAGTACAACCACCACCACCTAAAATCCATTGTCTCAAACTTCAGACATTGAAAAAATGGAACCTAAGGCTTCAGACTTGCAATAGCAGACTTCTATTTTATTTGCTTTGATTAATGGGGACTACTATATTAGATGCAGTACTAGAGTTGGGTCTGAGCAATGCAGAGTACGTAGAGTGGACCTATTACATTCTGTGATTTGGAAACAACACTTCAGTTGATGGAACCTACATTTTTCATAGCCATGTCACAGTGCTACCACTGCTTGTGATCAACTACAATTCTAACAACTTTTTTGCACAAATATCTTTTATTAAAATAAGTGTCGTATACCTGCATGTTTTTCTTAAAATTTTTGTGTTTGTCTTCGTAAATTTCATTCTGTCATTTTCGTCCCTCTAACCTATCAAGATTGTTTTGCATTTTACTTCTGTCTTCTAGGTTATTAGCTATCCCACCCAATTTCACGTCACCTGCAGATTTGATAAGCATTCTTTCCACCTCTATCAGTCATTGTGCAAATGTTCAAGAGTACTAAACCCAAGTCTGTGGTATCTCACTCCGTACCTTGTTTCAGTGTGATAAGGAATTGTGTTTTTTATAGTAATTTTATTAAAGATTACAATTATAACAGTAAAAATTAATACAAACTGAAAAAATAGAAGAATAAAAAGAAAGTAAAAAGTACAGAAAAGAAAGAAAAAAGGGAAACGTAGAAAAGAATAAAAAATAAGAATATAGTAAAGAAAAAGAAAAGATATATATAAAGAAGTGACTTCCTATCTTCATCAAAACAAGTATAAACAATTTTAGTAACTTATCACCTTCTCTTAAAATAACAACAGATTATTTCTTCTTCCTATATCCCATCTCTTATTTATAAGCAAATCCATAAAGCATCGTCATTTCAGTCCTGATGTCAGCAAAAGTCCATTAAGG